GCTGCCGGCGTGCCCACGCACAGCGCGGGGAAGGAGCAAGGCGAGGTGTGTGAGCCACAAGCAGTTCAGGCCCTGCTGTGACCCCGCTCTCGCCTCTTCCCCTCTCGGAGCAGGTACACCTACGAGCGCATCGACGGGCGGGTGCGCGGGAACCTGCGCCAGGCTGCCATCGATCGCTTCTGCAAGCCCGACTCGGATCGCTTTGTCTTTCTCCTGTGCACGCGGGCGGGCGGGCTGGGCATCAACCTGACCGCTGCCGACACCTGCATCATCTTTGATTCCGACTGGAACCCACAGAACGACCTCCAGGTAACGGTGTGGGCCAGGACAGGCGGCTGGGAGTTCCTGCGGCCCGGCTCCTGTCACTTGTGCCAGCCGGGGAGGGATGGGCAGCAGCACCTGGCTGCACTGGGTGTGGGATGCCATACTGGGAGAGCCGTCAGGAGTGCAGGCAAGAGGGGACATGCCATGGGGGAGATCACAGTGTGGTTCTAAAAGCACAAGTGGGCCACAGACTGGTGGTGGAGGGCACGAAGTGTTGGATGTCCCCATCTGCAGAGAGCCAAGGCTCCAGCCTGAGCCCTGTGTCCTTGCCTGGGGGTGCAGGGGTCTCCAGTTCCTGCTCCACAACCACACACGCCTGGCACTAACCAGCAGAGCCCTGCCAGGTCGGCCACGGGCACTAGATGAGGGTGCTCTGGTGGGTGGGAGCTGACTGTGGCTCAGGTGGGTGGGTGGTGAGTGCTGGTGCAGGGTGCCACAAGCTGCGTGGTCCCGATCCTGCGGGGCTCACTGTGCTTGACGCTCTGCCCTCTGCGCTCCCAGGCTCAAGCTCGCTGCCACCGGATCGGGCAGAGCAAGGCGGTGAAAGTGTATCGCCTCATCACCAGGAACTCCTACGAGCGGGAGATGTTCGACAAGGCCAGCCTGAAGCTGGGCCTGGATAAGGCCGTGCTGCAGGACATCAACCGCAAGGGCAGCACCAACGGGGTATGTTGGCTGTGGGAGCGGGGCTCGGCGGGAGGTGCTGGGGCAGAGCTCTCCTCCTTCCCCTGCAAGTCACTGCCAGGTTGAAGCAGAGACCTGGGCAGGCTTCCGAGGAGGAAGAGCCCGGTCCCACATTGGCGTTGCTGCTGTTTGGCCTGGCAGGCTGTCTATGCACTGCCGCGGGCCTGGGGGACGCATGGTGCTGTGTCTGGGTGACTGGACTGAAACTCCTGACAGTCCCTCAGGCGGTGTTTTGATGTGACCTCTTTGCTATAGCAGCAGGAGGTCTGGGTTGGCTTGGGACATCTCTGCCCTGCCTCCTGGGGCAGAGGGAAGAGCCTTTCCTGCTGTGCAGTGCCCAGGTAGGTGGGTGATGCCCCTGTGTTTTGGGCAGGTTCCGCAGCTCTCAAAGATGGAGGTGGAGGACCTGCTGCGGAAAGGTGCCTATGGTGCTCTCATGGATGAGGAGGACGAAGGATCGAAGTTCTGCGAGGAAGATATTGATCAGATCCTCCAGCGCAGGACGCAGACCATCACGATCCAGTCTGAGGGAAAGGGCTCCACCTTTGCCAAGGTGTGCTGTGCTCCATCGAGAGAGGAAGGGGACTCCCCCGCAGCGGTGGGGGACACACGAGGGGCATGCAGGGCAGTAGCGGTGGGCTGACCTGTGTGTTAAGACATGTCCACATGCAGACCAAGCTCTCCTGCCTGCCCTCCTGTGCCCAGGAGTGAGACCCTGGAGGGGTACGGCAGCACCGTGGTTTCCTGTCTCACTGGTGGTCAGCAGAGCATTGAGGAGGAGCCCACCAGCCTGGGTGGGTGATGTGAGGCTGCCCAGGATGGCTCAGCTTGCCAGCTTCTACTTTCTCTCTGAAGCCGGCTCAGGCTGGTGAGAAGGCAGAGCAGGGACTGTCCTCCAGGAGCCAGGCAGTGCCAGGGTGTGCCAGTGTGACGGATGCAGAGCTGCTCTTGTGTCCCAGTCAAGGCACTGCAGGGTGGAGGGCTGGCTCTCCTGATGGGCTGAGGACTCCTTGCCGTGGCAGCGGGCCATGCCCAGAGCTAGACCCTCTGCCCAGGGCTGGTGTGGGCAGGGTCAGGCCTCTCCCTGGGGATGATGGATGAGTTCAAAGCCTGGGTGAGATCCAGTCCTGATCTTCTGTTCATGGGCTGAGCTTATTTGATCCAGAGTCTGTCACCTCCTCTGCCCTTCCCGACACCGGTGCTGCCTCAGCGTGGTGCTTCACCAA